CACTCAAGCATAAACAACAAATCGTTGCCAGGCCCACATGATATTAGATTACCACAGAGTTTTTAAAGATAACCATCAGATGAAATACGGTTTGTGCACGACTTCTGACCAATGTTTTGCATCCGTTTTAGACAGCTTCACCATCTTTCCTACCATTATTGTTAAAGTTTTTCATCCCATTTTATGCCAACGTCCGAGCTCTGATCACCAATTCAGTTCACAATGAAGTCCACATACAATACATGCTAAGATCACAAGCTTTCAAGGACATCACTTTAGAAACGAAAAATGCATACGTGTCATGAGTTACGCTCTGTGGCCTGATCGGAGACGTATGAACGATTAATGATTAACATGCTAGCTTCATTTTATTTTGAAAAAAAAATGAAAACGGCATACTAGGATTTAACGGCGAGGTTTCAGTAAAACGATAAAAATGCGTAGTTAATATAAAAACTCAACCATCAAGATAACCGGAAGGCTTGTTATTGTTTAAAACTCATCTTACTTGTTTAGGACTTGAAAACATGGTGGTTCGTCAAAATCTCTAGGTCTATAAGTATGGCCGACACCTGTATAATGCAGCTATTGAGTTATTTGCGTTCAAAGCACGAACATTCAATAACAACAAGCTGAAAATATTCCTGCATTGTTTATTTGATGATCAGCTTAATAAATGATTATTCGGTGACATTTTTTTCCATACACCTAACAGCGCACGTCTTTTGGAGGGACAAATTCTCCAGAAGTTCTTTTCCTTTGAATAATTTATGGTGTGGATATCAACGTTGTAATTCCTGATTTTTTTAAATGGACCTGCCATTCAGTCCGATATTTCAAAAACCAGTTTTATACAGACAATATATTGTAGGTAAAAGCCGGATTTCATCCACATTATTTAATTATTTAGAGAGCGCCTAAAGACGTCGGTTGATTAGGCGCCACTTAGTTGACCGTGCTAAAAAAGACTGAAAAAACCTGCTTGAAAACAAAGTAAAATGCAGGAGAGATCTGGCTCTCTAATTTATCCACTGCAAAATCTTAGATATACATATTCTTGTGTGGATCAGTTGGTAATCCCCTTTGAGAATGATCTGGAATTTCCGATAGACAAACAATGTAAACAAAAACCAACTATTCACCATTTATAGCCTTCACATCTTGAGTAAAGCTGAAGACTAATGCGGTTGAGTTGCCTCTTTAGTAAATACTGTCGGTACAAGCAAACTCTAAACTGAGTTCGGTTTTCAAACTAGGTAACAAGGAGACCATAATCCTTAGGGACCTGTCCACCTGGGTTGCTTCACAACACCCGTTGGTACAACAGCATTGCGAGGATTGCTAGCATATGTAGGTAACTTCTTTTCATGTGTTATCAGAAAAAAAGCTTTTTATCACAAGATTTTCAAAGTACACTAATTGGACGTTCCGAAAGATGTTGCGCTATAGTCTAACCGACTAAGATTTTCCGCCCATTATGTAGCGATATCGTCATTTCACATATCCGTTCTTGTTGAATCCCTTCGACATATCATTTTGAAAATCATCACTGCACACTTTTCCAAGAAGTGTTTAAAAATGCTTAAGCACCGGCAATACTTTCTGTCGTCCGCGTGAAAGTGTAATTCTGCAAACACATTTATTCTTTACACTTAAGAAACTCTTGTTCAAGAATTATGGATTTTCTAGCGATCAAAACGGAGGGAGGAGGAATTCAGAAACATCTGATTAAATGCAAGTCCTTTAAGCCAAGCAACACGAACACAAGCAAGTTCTGCCTAAACCGACGTTATAAAATTGAGACATTAGATACATTGCATATTAATCACCTCAAGTTAGAACCACTTGTGTGCCTTGCATGCATACGTTAATTTGGCAAAGCGACTAATGTTTGTTTCCTCGAAGGCGATCTCATTGAACAGAGTCAAACCATATAAGAGTGTAACTGCGTAAAATCCAACTCGTAGGCTGCAACAATGTTTCTAACATACTTCACTTTGATCTTGGTACCCCATCTGCTGTTCTATCAAGGTCAGTGCCCATAATTTCGCTGAGAATCAATTTTATGAAACTATCGTACGTAGTATGCTATCAATTTAATCGCGTTACTTTATATTGCAGTTCTGAAATTTCCACTTGAAAACTGCCGTTCTTCGTAACTGATCTTAAAAAATATGCAAGCAAGCCAATAAAAGGCCCCATATTCGAGCAGCGCTTTGCCATAAACTTGTAGCCTGCAACTAAGCTGTCTTTACTTCTGCACCAAGCGGAAAATATTTCGTGCGAATCATGGAAACATAAAAATGGATGTAAACTTCGCGTTTTATTTTAACGCGCAATGTATGAAAACATGATCACAACATATCTAACTGGATTTCAGTCGGCCACATCAAGCTATTTGCGATATTTTATTCAATCCATCACTTTACATCAAGCTGAGGTGTCAAACGCATGCTTTCAAAAACCAATGCTTAGACGGAAAAATTCTCTTTATTTTATTAAAGGCGCCAGTGCACAGTTTTACAACCAAGCCTGCGTCGGTAATTTCTGCGCCCTGGACATTGTTTTGGGTTCATCACTCATAACAGCTAATCCGTGTTTTATGACCTGGACGTTATTGATACTAGTGAAAATGTTTGTCTTTTATATTATTTAAGAAGGTACGTATATATGTCACCATACAATAGTGGGCCATTTAATTTTGAACTATTGATTATTTGCAGACGAGTGCACCAAAACAGCGGAACTTTGCCTAAGTATGTCATTACGTTCTCAGTTTCTACGCGTTTAAACGACCTTAATTACATCTGATATCAAATGATTTAAATAACTTTCTCTATCTGAATAGGCTGTCATTCAGGAGCATGCGAGGAAATAAATTTTATCTCAGAGTTTCCAGACCCAACGGTAGGAGTGAAGGCTCACCTGAAATTGGGGACTTATGAATTGGGCTTCGGAGTACCTTCCATGTTCTACTACGACAGTATAAAAAGCTACGATGGAACTTGGCGAAGTTGATACAGTATGAGTCCGCGTGATAGTACTCGCCATATTTAGACCGTAGGTTTACTGTGGAAGATGTTGAAGTACAAGCCTTATGACAAATGAGGGAAGCAAGTATACTGAGAATCGGCCTGAGCATGATTCTTCAAGCAAGGATTTGTTTTTCGGACTAAAGTACTGTCTGGAAAAAAACCGGCATGCACCAGGCCCCGATGTCACGTTGGATTCGGATAAAACTGTTTCATCAAAAACTTTTGATTAAAAAACATTTTGAAAAAAATTAATAAAGAACCAGTAAAGAATCGCAAACCACAAACGATGAAAAACAGCAGCCTGTCGCTTCACTCAATGATTTTTCAACATAATCCTTTCCATGTTCACAATTATTCCGAACCTTTTCATTTTACACCGATAGTTTCCTGTGTGATTAGCTTTCTCTGCACCCGTAAGTAAATGTTTCTTCCAAAACGAGTTATCTGTATGCATTTTGTATCATCTTTGTTTTTGAGCTTGGTGTTCACTTCATGCTTCACAAGTTCACACACCAACATAAATGATAGTGCTACATCGATCCTCAGAAGCTAGCAGAAGGGTTGAGTTTGAATTTCCTTTGTGCCTCTCAAATGAAACATAAGAACATATTCCATTGAGTATATGAAGAACAATCCACACTGTCTTTTAATGTATCATAAATTACTAGCGTTTAGCTAAATGTGTGGCATAATGCAAACCATAAAAACTGGTTCTTTGCAAAATTCTCATTGAGCGGTGATGAGATGGATATATGACACAATGCTCGTAGACGTAATATGTTGAGTACTAACAAGTCATCTGTTTGTGGAACATTATGGAAATCAGGTAACAATTGAATGTCTTATTATTTAGGATCTCCACATCTGAGAATGTCTTCTCATCCAGTATCTTATCACACTCATCTGCAATATTTATTACCTTTGACTGAAAGGGACACCGTTGAATGGGACGGATATTGTCATCACTTGTGTACTGTGGCCAAATTCCTATAGGTTTACCGTAGCATGTGATTTATCTCTGTGCTTTAGTTATGCGAAATGTTAGATCAGTGAACGTTATATGGTACCTTCATAGATATGTGGCAGAAAGGCCTTGTTGGCGCGCGTCAAAAGGGGCCTTGGAAGTTTTTGATAGCTTATTTTTTGTTCCCTTGCGAAGTCTTTTTTCTCGTATGAATAACGAGGTGGCTGCAGCTGTCCAACATTTTGTCAAAATGCTTCAGGATGTTAGTTCACTGCATTGAGCAACATGATTCTGAGTTTAGACCAGTAAACGGCCATTCCAATAGGGAAATCTAGCTGGAAGATAAGTTTCAACCACCGCGTTTTAATCAGCCAGGTTTTGCTGACAATCATTAGGGAAGTATGGATTTTCAGGGAGGAAGTCGTTGTTGTGTTTTGCCTAGAAACAACAGCTCACAACCGGGAGGAGACGTCAGAATGCTCCAATATGTGCTTGTATCATTTGATCAATTGTCATGCCGTTTGTCATGTCTTCAGTAAAACTGATATAGCTAGCACATCCCTCTGGGCATTTGTTCACGATTTCCAGTTATCTGTCCAGTCTATAAAAGTGAATGCATAAGTAAGTCCACTGGAATTGGCGAGATAATGAAGCAATACAAGGTTTATGATATCTTTACAAGTGCATCTGGGCACCTGAGTTTATTTCTTTTTCGGACATTTAGTGTTAACTTTGTACTTCCGGCAACTTCGCAACAAAGTAATGTTTTCATGAGGGTTGAGTGGACAGGTGTGGCGATAAGTTTTGCTGTGTTTTTAAAAATACGGCTGAATAATTTAAAACGATTTTTGATATGATGTAGGTTTTGTCCGTCACGGGGGTGGTGTGTTTCTCAATGGATAACTGTTGTACGCGCATACAAAATACGTTTTAGAGAAAATTGGCAATGAACCTGTCATTTGATTATTAAGGTCGATGCCCAAGAATGTAAGCACCCTTACCTGCATCTGGTGATTTTCTGCTCGTTCGCGACAAATAGAGACTTTTCCATGCATCACCATCTCTAACCTATGGAACAAAATATCCAAAAAAAATTCCTCGTAAACCTGGTGAGTGGAAATTAATCGATCTATTTTTTCTGTTCAATACCGTCTCTTAAACAGATGACTCTGCATATGTATCAAATAACTGATTATTTTTGGTTTTCAGCTAGTTCTTATCCACATATTTGAATTGCTGTTGTAAGCTGTTGTGCATTCTAATAAGACTTTGGTTGCGATTGTCTTTTTTGGACAAGATTTCCAGTGAGGAATGATAAGTTGCCGCTAAAAGAAGCTTCATTTGGCTAAACCTCCAAGATACCATCAGAAACAACAGCAATACGGACTCCGTATATTCAGTTTCTTTGTATCCAATGACGGCGCATCGGGTCTCGTGCAACCTACAGTTATTTATTTGCCCTTGTTTTTCCACTTCAATTGACTTGATTCTACATGAACCCTGGCATTGGAACTGCCAATCCCATTGTGATTCGCACGTTTACTCCATTTCCTTGCTCAGCCTTGCTAATTCATGTCTTTTGAACTGTCTGGTAACTAAACGAGGGAACTAATACGTTGGCTGCAAGTGGTGTTGCCAGCACACCGTATGTCGAGCCGGCCTATGCAAGCCCATACTCATGCCTCGTTGTGGATAGGGGAATGGAGTTGTGGTAGACAGACAATTGGCAAGAAGACTAGACTACTTTTCATAGACACAAAGCTCAAGTCGAAAGGTCACCAGAGTCCTGAGATTATTTCGGTTACGATTGCTTTGCTGATGGTGACAGGAGCTGTTTTTGCTGTTGATAGTCGTGAGACAATACAGTTGACGGTAAAGATGAGTAAGCGTGAGATAGCTTTGAATATGACACAATACACCGAAGGACGTACAGAAAGTGCAGGCCTCCAAGGCTGACATTACTGACGCGAACAAACTACCGATCACTTAAGTACAAAACAATTACCGGGCGTGGTGATGTACTGACCCACTTCGTCTCATGGTGTTTGCCAGAGTGCGACCTACTTGCTCCAAAATGGTTTGGCTCATTGGAGGGATAACATGAAAAAAATGTTTATATTAGAAGCAACAGCCTCGACGTAGACGTTTATCGTGCCAGCCGCATCTTCTAACCAACCTACCAAAGATTCCAAAACATTGTTATGATACTTAGGAGGGAGGTATTAATAAAATACACATAAGATGAACCTTGCAAAAAGACAGCGCACACTTGGAATTATTGAGACCCTAGATTTGTGACCATAGTGGGCAGGACAGAACATTGGACAAATCTGTTCAGAAATTTCCTTGCCCACTTACTACGCATCAGGCCTCCGATGCTTACGACGCTTTTGGAATCGCTCAAGAAGTAATGTGCAGAATGATTAAGATTGTGTGTATTTCGTATAAAAAACCTAGAGATTGCACAAACGTACGTTTGGGTCAGCGATCGAGCGCTTGTGGATTTCTTTGGAACGTGGCCGTACACAACTACTCTATTGTTTGACGCGTACATGAACTTCTCACTAATGGGTCAAACAAAATCCTGCGTCAATATCCATGTGCAGTGGTTCGTCAAGCATTTGAAAAGAAGTAAATCGTCATTGACAGTGAAACTAATTTATGAATTAAAATTTTGATAGAAACCATAAAACCAAAAATCGATGTGTCGTCGGGATGAGTGGTATAGAGCCATTTAAACAATAGTTGGCTCTTGCTTGTGTAAAAAGGATGGCGAGAAAAGCTCTCGGTTTCATTTAGTCCCTTCAGCTGTTCTGAAAAATTGCGTAACCAATGTACAAAACGCACCATATTAGACCATATATATACATACATATATATTAGACTATATATTCTAACTACAAGCGATGAAAGCGAAAGCCTTAGGCAGTTGTGTACTATCACCATACGACCATAGTGTGGCCGCGGTTAAGTAAGAATATCTGGAGATGAAAACAGTTTGTAGGTGTTGGTGAGGTGAGAATAAAGGTCACATTGCTTGAAAACCCCAGTCCCCTCGCATCTAACCGGATGAGCTCACATCAAACAGACCAGGCGCTGGGGTCGTTTTCAACTCCAATTGCCAAGCTGTTGTCAAACATCTCTCAAGCAACATTCAGGACACTTAACGAACCGCCATTTTAAGACAGTCAAATCACCTAAATGCAAACTCGACACCTATAGGCGTCATAAAACCCGTACGCCTCGCACTCGCTGATGGTTCTCGTTTGACAGAAAATCCGACAAATCATACGAGATATTTTCATGCTTTTGGATAACAATGCCTCAGAAGCCGTGCTGGAGTCATCAAATTCCCAGCCAAATAATATATAACTGGTATTCGGTTTTGGAACAGATAATTCTGCTGAGCAAACGAATCACGACCCTAAATCGTGAACACATTTGTCTGTTCAGATTTAAAAGTTCGCCTGCGTCCAAAGTGTGGCTGTGGAGTAGCGTAAACACATTCGATTCTCCCGCCATATATCCGGAAAAGAATATGCACTACTGATAAACTGTAATATGAGAGAAATTCGAATGCAATGCTCCAAACTTTGTTGCGGGCCCAATAAAATAAATATGTCATGAGAGGGGTGAGCGTTAAGACGTGAGTGATGTGGACGTGTAATCTACGGATCCCGCCGACACATTACACGAATTAATTATATGGTCATTTCCGCTTATTACACTACTCTGATAGATAGATGCATTGAATTTGCTGGTTGATGCCGGCCACGTTGCATTAATTTGAGGATGAGGAAAATGTTCAGTAGGAGTTTGGCCTGATCTCTGGATTACCGGTCACTAGGTAATGGTAACCGATTTCCTCGAGGCATATGAATGGCCACATTTATTAGTATTCTAACCAGCGGAAAAACAGCATTTTTTAATATCTACAATCGCGAATCACAAGTGTGTATATCAAACGGAATACAAATACTAGTAGTATGGTTGTTCTTTCTTCCCAATACACTGTCTCGACTGCAAATCATTCACTACATATTTACAGGGAGATTTTTCCATAGTTCTTGTATTGTATATCACACTTGACGTAACCAAAGATCTGTTAACGAGTTTGTCATGTGCCCATGCGTTCTGGCTGGCGTAAGCTATATCACGTGGAAATGGAAGTAAAAAACACAGACAGAGCTAAAAATTCATTTGCAGAAGAATTATACATTCGCTTCTACTGATCCTCAAATGGTGCCTTTCAAGCCATAGGTGTTGTAATCCAGTTCGGCATTCATATACGTGACACCAAATGCTATAGTTTCCCACTTTTTTGCGACAAGCACCTATGCCCCTTAAATCAGGGCTCACGGATTCCTGTGACAAAAACTCCGATGCTATCGGGAGACCATCGCCAAGTAATTATTCTTCGAATAGAGATAATCTCCTGTTGATGCAAAATATCTGCTGATTTGAAGATAGAAATCTGTGTTATATTTTTTGGGATGGTTTACTGAAGGCTGTGTGAAAGGTTTGTTGCATCAAAATAGACCTGTCCACCAAAATACGTTCACCTTACTAATTTGGATCAGAAGACAGACTTGCATAATCTATGCGCAATTCCGCTAATGCAGTGAAACGTCTGGCCTAGTGTCCAAAAAAGCTTTTCTTGAGAGTGAATAACGGAACTGCACCCAATACAATATATAATTTGCAAAACAGTTTAATTGATGATCCGCACTTCTGTGTGTTGCAGTTGTTCAAAACTGAGGTCCGGAGTTGGGGGATCATGGGTTTTGGACCATAAATGTAATGTAATGTAATGTAATGTAATGTAATGTAATGTAATGTAATTATTGTAATTTCGAGACCAAATAACTTGCGGTCTTATAAAAGTGCTACCGATATTTTCTTTGAAGTAGAGTGCCGCCGAGTATTTTCAGAGTACACTGTCTGCTTTGCTCGCTGAAAAAATCACGAACACTACATGGTAAAACCCACTTAGTGCAAAATCTTGCCTCAGCTCAAAAAAGTTGTGGGAATTTCTCGTATATTAGAATGTGGAACTGTTATATCTGCTGACGCGCCGGTCTGTGGTATCTGCTGCTGACCCGCTCCAGTGCCTAGTGTCGGAGAGAAAAAGACTCACGGAAGGGAACACAATAGCTATATTCCTGAAAAAGTGGTTACGACCGCGCGAGTGCGTGCGAGTGTGAAAAGTACAACGGCCTCAANTGCGAGTGCGAAAAGTACAACGGCCTCAAGCTTTTTATTGGGAGGACACTGTCTGAACTTGGTCCAATGCTGACGCACGCGGTCTGGCTTTATTACGAAGCAGCGATGTGCTGCATATTGCGGAGGCGTTGTCTGTCCTTGATCAACGCTGACTCGCGCTGTCTGGGTTTGATGCAAGGCTGTGACGCGCTGTATATTGAGGGGGCGTTGTCTGTCTGGTCAACCCCCAGCGGAGCTGAGAGTCCCCGTAGATTCCGGGGCTTCAGTGGTTGCTTTTAGGAAGCTGACTTTTCTGAGTGGAACACAATGCAAAATACATGCAGGTTTAATCTGCCAATATCCATCTGTAAGATCACACGTTTTTGTGTGCGAAAGCCATTTTTGTGTGAAATTGGAATATTACAGCCTTTCCACAACTACTTCAGGCGGTCGGATTTGTAATGCCTGAAGAATGGCAAACTGGGTATACAATTCCGGTGTGCATGATCTGGATGGCAGTCAAAGCTAGCATGCTGGTACACACACATGCTGGTACACACACAACAAATCAATTTTCAAACTTTCATAAGAACAGATATCAGCGTAGGAGAATTCAAATCTAAACCAATTTTTTCGTCACCACACGCAATTGCTTTCCTATATAGGTTGCGTGATGCGACTGCATTCCTCAGACTAATTATATTTAATGATATCAGACATGCTGTTCTCAGCTAACACATAAGTTATCGTAATAAACGGGGCATTTTAAACGTCAAGGCAGAAACAATAATCAAACCAGATAAACAGACAGCCACGTTTTCGTCCGGAAATTATTTTTAATCAGACTTTCCGCTACCAAATATTTT